ATTGTGAGTTCTCGGATGATCCGACTTTTCTGTTCGATCGGTATACCTAAATTGAATACGAGAATAGTGCAAGTTAAACAACGTTTGTAAAAAGGAAGAAGAAAATCATCGCGATTCGAGGAAAATCTTAAAAATACTCGTGATCGTCCGTATGATATCCTGAATTCGGTAATTTCGCAAATTTCCTCTATTCCTCCTTGATGATCGTCGAAAACAGATTGTTTTTGATATGCGTTTTTTGGGCTGTGATCGGTCGGATACGTCGTTTGTTCGAATTAATACATGGCAATTGTGTTTCCTCGAGAGCTGGTGCTCCGACATTAATATCTGTCGAAGACTACGCCCTTGGATAAGATTCCTTTTCTCAAAAACATTTGCGGATTTTCTATCAGTTCGGAAATCTTTCGCTTCAATGATCGTTGTCGTTCATTTTTGTCCTTCATTTTTACGTTTCCCTTCCAATTGTAAACTTACGAAGCATATGCATAAGGTGATGCATATGATATGTCGCTCATTTAAATTAAGGAAATAAACTTCTTTTTGGTTATCATTTAATTCCAGAATTAAAATAATTATTACAGTTTGTTCACCATATCGGTATAATACTTGTTCAGTGAGAAAGTTATTCCGACGAATACGAATCAAATTTTTGATATTCACAGAATAATTGAACTACCTGATAATTTAATATTATTGTGAGCTTATCATCTCGAATAAAAATTGTCTTCCAATTCATCATCATTCAGACATTTTTCACAAAATTGAATATAATTGCGAGGGACCCATTCTTTTAATGTTGCACGCAAATACATTAAATTAAATAGTAATCATAATATAATATCGAATTAAATATCTTCAATAAAGTGGAGATCACAGAAAAACGACACTTCCTAAACATCAAGATCAATGGCTAAACGAGGATTCAATAAATTTGATCCGAAGTTCCTTTCAAAAATCCAAGAAATTCGAACAATGGAAAATTGATGAAATTTGATGAAAAGTGAAACTTTATGGTAAAAATCGCATTGCGAGTGAAAACGGTGTGACTTCTACGCTGCTCCAAAGGGTTAAATGTTCGCGCTCGTTAGGAGCCAATTATATTCCCCCTGAAAGGCGAGGGAGGCAGTTTTTGATGCTAATTGAGAAAACGGGGTCGATCATCGCAACGAGATACCCACGTAGAGTTGCGAAAGCGTGTACGGTTCAATGCTGGAACATGAATTATAACGAAAACGACGCTAACTAGCCCACTCGTTCGCAAAAGCGAGGAGCAAGAATTTTCAGAATTAATAAGGGAGAAGCAAATCGGATAGGAATCGTACCCGAAGTTTCTAAGTTGTCTGGAGAACGAAGAACGAACTTACGCGCGGAGAAACGCGTCGATTGGTATTCCTCGAACTTTCTGATATCACGGAATTTATTCCGTACAGAAGGCCGAAAGTAAAAATGAACATCTTCTTGACGCTCACTAAACGTGGAAATTCAATAAAATATGATAATTTTATATTAGAAAATTATTTCAAATGAAAATACAATTTAAATGGCAGACGTACGTAAAATATGATAATCTTGTATTAAACAAGTATTTTCAAAAGTATTTCCCAATAACAAAATTCTAGGAATTATCAATTCAAAGTCTCGACTGTATAATCATTTAAGAAACAATTTATCTTGCATTTAATTAAATGTCAGCGAAAGTTGCATTTGTTATTTTGTTTTTCGTATTTTAAATAAATTGATATATTCTATATATTTTCTAGTTCGTCAAAAATATTTATATATTAAGGAAAAGTTTGTTATGTATGAATTACGATAAAAGTTATAATTATATTATAAATAGTATTTAGAAAGGTGATCTAAATATGTGACCGGCAGTGTAAGTGTTTTGAAATACTTATAGCGACAAAACGTTCGTGTAGAATTATCGGTTTCGATAGAAAGAGCAAAATATTACTTTCTTCGTATTACATTAAAAATGTAAGTCATAAGTATTGATTCTCACAGCAAATATGCCTTACCGTTAAGAACTTATTTCTTTTTAAAGTCAATACTTATAATTAAAAATCCGATTCGTATATTCCACATACATCGTCATGCTCATGATTTTCGATAGGTGTCTTGTAAGAACTAAAAGATTTAATCATTCCTTTGATATGTATAAAGTTTGTGTTAATAAAAATCATACAAGATATTTTATCTCTTTCTTAAACGCATTAATTTATATCAATATTACGCCACATAGATTCTTTTTTTGCATTTTTCTTAGATTTTCCATTGATTTTTGCTTGTTTGCATGTTATTCCGTACAAGCTTTGTGCTTTACAGCATGCTAGAATTCTACGTACATACGTGTATGGGCGAGTTAACTTTATCATTTATTTCTGTAGACTCTGTACTTCATCAAATGTATCGTTAATTAATTAAGTGCAATATTTAATCGGTATAAGAATCTAAAATATTTGATTGTAAACGTTACATTAAAAGTAGTAGAGTAACCAATATTAATTGTTTCTTAAATAACAAGTCGAAACTTAACATATTGAGCGCCGGTGACCTAAGAGACATTTAAAGCCTGAGCGCCGGTATCAGCCACTTAAAGCCCAAACGCCGGCCTCATTCGTTTGTATCTGATCAATGAGTAGCCAAAAAAAATATTCAAAACATTATACATTTTCGAAAATAGTACATTTTAATTGCATATTCGTCATATATAATTTAACGGAAATCCAGAAATCCGCATTATTGCGGGGCCGGCGCTCGAGCGACAGACTCAGAATCCCGCGTTTTCACGGGCTGGCGCTCAATGTGTTAAAATTTGAAATATGAATTATCAAAAATAAAATTCTCTTTCTTTCGTTTTTTTCACAATGAAATCCATTTTTCTTTCTTACGAACAGCAAGATCGATTTTAACTTGACTTGCGTTCCATCCTTTGCACGGAATATCCGCCGTTTCAAGTCACCAGGTTCGAGGAACGCCGGTTTTAAAGAATATAGCGCACCGACTAGAGGTCCTCAACACGCTAAGCATTTTGCTAAGTATTAAAAAGCTTTTAACAATCGGACGTTTTTCTTCTTATCTTCCGAGGGAATGGTTCCCTCGGCCGATCATCATTTTCACATTTTCTCTTTCTCTCCCTTTCTCTCTATCTTTCTCTCCCTCTCTTTCGTTCATTCGCAAGCGCGTACAGCTTCGCTGTGCCAACGACGAGTTAATCGTTCTATGAATACACGTCGAGAGCTCGGAAACGTTTCGCTCGTGAAAAATAGTTCTTTGAGGAGTCGGCTTCCTCTTCAACAAATATTCCATTAGAATTCTAGTGATTAAAAGAATCCTTTGTGCAATGATCATTTTGATGGATGATAGTAGCTCGAAGGGATTCGAAATTATGAACTGCATTCCGACTTGCAATCTGGACTAGTGCTGCCATTTTATACGATTATCTGTGATATGCTGCATAAAATATTCTGTAAATTAAATCGATCTCGATACCATAAGATCTGAATTAATTTAATGATCAGAATTATATGGCGAATTTATCTTCATCATTTTTCCGATGTTGTATTAGTTGGAATGAACCACACCTCATTCAATTCTATTAAATTATTTGTAAAGGATTTGAGGTTTAACAGGAAAATCGTGTTATATCAAGTTGTATCTTACATTTTCATTGGAATATAAAGATTATCTTTATGTCACTTCACTGTGTTCCTTCGTTAGTGCTATTAAGGTACCCTGATTTTGTTACATTAACGTGGCTCGTTACTGTGTTCAGGTACCGAAGCGTTAGAAGTTTTATTATCGAAATTGGTTTGGATTGAATTTAATTTAGCCTAAGATATTCGTGGTGCAGTTTCAAATAAAAAGTGCGAAAGCTCTGGCACGTGTACGTAATAAAAAGCTAGCACTAGTCTTGAATTAGAGGATTCTCTGAAAAATTAGAGCACATCGAGCAACGTGAGATACACATAACGATGATGACCTAGATTCGAGGAAGCTCTGTTTAATGCATTCTTATCAATGTTTTACCATAGATTTGACCAAAAGCTGAAACAAAGCTTCCGAGGAGATTCTAAAACAGAAAACGATAGAGCTCGATAGAAACAGTTATTTCATGATATCCAATGTTCGGCGCCAGTATAATTAACCCTTTGGAGCCCTTTATTTCACCGACCGTGTCAGAGTCTCAACATCTTATCTTTCATGCGTCAATGTCCCGAAAGAAAAGACTTGATTCAAAGTTCACGACAATCGACGAATGGACGAGTATCACAGAAGTATCGAAAAGCAACTATCAAAAAACCGTTACGGAGAAAAGTATCAGGCGAGTATCAAAAAAATATCACAGAGGTTTGAAAAACAATGATCGACACGTGGGAAATCGTAAAAGCATTTTGAAAAATGTAAGGTCGACTCGAACTGAGAAGAATACCGGACGTCAAAGGGTTAAACACCGGTCAAACGTTCCTTGATTTTTGTTCTTTTGGCAAATACTGTCCTCACACCCTGTACTCGCATGAACGCGAGCATCTCTGTGTATAGCCGTGTCGACTGATTCACAGTGTCCTCTGATTTCGTCACGACTCGGCTCTCGTATCGATGTATTTACACCGATGTTCTTCGAGTCGTTGTTCCTCGCCGGAACAAAGAACGCGGGTCCTATATTCACGCATACGCACACGCGCAAGCACACACACACGCGACACACTCGTGCACACACCTAAAACACGCTCACGCTCTCCCTGTTTAATAAAATCTATATAATTTAATAAACAATTTACACATATAACATAATCGATAAATGTCATATCCTTTTTTCTTCTATACAACAATAAGTTCATTAATTGCTAGATAGGATCGTTCGTATCGATACTTTCGTCCCTGCGCTTCGTTTAATTCCAACATCTCCCCAACGTTCCTTTCGTTCCGACTATATTATACTGGACTATGAAGAATTTTTCAACGAAAAGCGAGGTCCGACCCTCGAGACACGGTGCGACGCGACGTAACGCCAGCCCCCCGTTCTATTTATCTCCGGTGAAATTTCATCGTCGAGTCTACACCGACAGTGACCCTAAAGGAAGGTGATTATGCGCGCGAACGTTCTATGGTACACAATAAATCTTTCATGTACAATAAATATAATACACAACTAACGATACAGCAACAAGGAAGAAGTTTGATTTCGCAAGTTTTACGCGTTGGGGGGTTAGGTCGTGCGCCGCTCGCCGTGTTTCAAGGCTTTGATCGGCGGATGTCGCTTACGCTCGGAAAAACGACGGAAGTGAAGTTTCGAGCGTCGTTCTAACAAAGTAACAACGAAACACACTACCCCCGCCGGCGCTCAGACCCGTTTTCTCTAATCGGCACAACCTTCCACCCGCGAACGGTTAACACTATCTGGACCTCACGTCGCGAGTTAACTTCAGTCTCGTACAGTATCAGGTAGTAAACACGTGGATTGCACGATTCCGATTTGTGTACAGCGTCGAAAATGTGAATGACCGAAATGTGAATCTTTATTTTTTTAATCCTCGATGAACGAAAAATGGGGATTCACATGTTTGACGTTAACGTGTGGCTAACGAAAGACGAAAATTTGCGTCGTCGGTCCAAAGAGTGTTGACAATTCGACGACTCGGGTACCTGGATTCGTTCCCCTACGTTCGTCTCGTCGGTTAAACAGTGTTATCAGTCTTGGCTCGCGTTCGGTTCCGATGTCTAGTACATCGACGTTGAATCTTCCTGTCTCCTGCTGGCTTATGGGTGCACACCGTCAATGGAATCGGATCGGCGTCGATCGGGTTCGTCGTCGACGCGAGAGCACTCGGATATGTTGCGTCCTCGGTCGACCTCTACGTCTGATCGAACCTCGGGAGGTAAAGATGGATCAAATCACGCCGACGATCGAACCTCTCTAACGGTAGAGGAATCCCATCGAAGTGTCCTCCGACATTATCCCCGGCGTCCGAACGAATTCACGATCCGTCCGAATTCCTCGATCACTGGCCCGTCACCGATTTCAGTCGGTCACCGGCTAGGAACACCGTTCTTCTATCCGTCGATACGACCGAAAGGCGCTTCTGACCAGTCCCCCCTTTACTTCGTATCCCTTTTTCTTATTATCCTGTGTTTCGTATCTTAGCACCAACGAAGAATCTAGAAGAGGCTCACTCGTTCGGTTTACAGTTCGGATTCATACGCGGATACACTTCGTCACGAAATTGAAGCACGTGTGCAGTCTTAGCGGACGCATGGATGTTGTGGCCCGTGTCTACACATACCACTCTTTGATGTCTATCAGTTCGCGTTTCTTGTTGGTTTTGCTGCCGTTCGCGCCGTTCTTCAGGGCGCCGTTGAACGGTTGGCCGGAACCGGCTGCGCCCAGCAACGCCGCGTTCGGGTCCTGGCAGAAGGTCTTCGTCTCGTCGACCTTGTAGCTGGTCTCCGGACGGTTCTTGAACTTCAGGATAATCAGGATGATCAGGACGATCGCAATCAGCGCCGCGGCAATGATGCCAATTATCAGTGCAGCGTTCTCCGATGCCTCGCTTGTTATCCTCTTGTTGTTGTTCTTAGGCGGCGTTGGCATCGGGGGGTACACCATCGGGGGCGGCGGTGGTGGTGGCGGGTCCGTCATCTCTGTGGTGGTCGTTTGGGTCGTCACGGTCGTCGATCTCGGCGTCACGACACTACTGCAAATTAGTAGAATATGATCGTTTAGGATCCAAGAAGTTTAGGTTCATTGGATGATACAGGGTTATCAAGACATTTAAATCCATTAGATGATACGGGGCTATAAGAGTCGATGGAGGCAAATGTTTACAATTCTGTTGGAAACGTATGATTCAGTTTTTAAAGATATTTCTTCTTCTTCGAAAGTTTCTGGTCATTTAAAAATTTGCATCGATTTACGGGTTACAGATATTGGTGAGAGAATTTTATAATTTTTTAAAATCTTTGAACATAGTTTAATGAATCGGAATTATGGAGATATAAAAAAATTATTCAGTAATGTCTATTAAAGGCAATAACAATCTTACCACAACCTTTTCATAAAAAGAGGAAACCTTATATTTTATTTGCCTTCTCAAGTGTTTCAGGCATTTCCTCAATTAGTTCGTTTATTTTTTTATGGAAGTTTAAATTTTCCAGCGATTTCAAAGTAACTATGTAATATACAAATAATATGAGTCGGCTTTAACGAATAGGGAGTTATTGTAATACGTGAACGGATAATGAAATTTGTTTACTCCAGTACAGTATTTCTTTGTTTTAAAGTCTATTGTTGAAAAATGGAAAAATGGTTGGAAACTTTTATTCAGTGGTGTAAAAGAAAAAGGAAAAAGAGGGAACGCGCTAGCGGAATTCGAACTGAGCTTTCAAAATTCGTCGACTGCGTTTTAACACTGGAATTATGAAGCACCAAAAGTAATTGGTCTTTAGTGTTTTGTAACAATGATAAAATTGCGTTTATTCAATCTATACGATTTCTATTATCTGACGAATTAATAAGTTTACTTAGTAATTTATATTTTATTTTATAACAATGTTTAGTTATATTTTGATATTAAAAATTAATTAAAATAAATTAAGTGAAATGTAACAACAATTTAGCAAAAATACACACAAAAATGTAGAACCACCAACGTTATTTTAATGTACTACCCAGTAAACACAAACTAAATTATTAAATAAAATATATCATTTAAACATAAAGCAGATTTTAATTAGCTGGCAACTTAGAATTATCGATGCTGAATCAATTTTGCCAGCCGATTTGATTGCCAACAGAATCCGTGAGAACGGTTAACTAATCAAACCACTAAAACCAATCTGTTTGCTTAATCGTAGTTTGGTTGTCCACAACCTCCAACCACGCGCGAAATGCAAGATCAGCTAAGAAAACAAATAAATCAATACCAATATCAACAGGTATACTAAAAGATAAAACTTGCTACTTATCCATAGACGATTAAACAAAACATTAAATCTGTCTACTTATACGATCATCGCTTCACACCAAATAAAACATTTCTGCATCGTACATATACCCCTAACTAAAACACTATCATCATCAAAACTTCTTTCACTATTTCAACACAGAAACTATCCAATTAAAAAAAAATCATTCTTATTTTCCTCTTTCAAATCTACCCCTCGAACTATCAGTTCATCCTCATCAATTCCGATTACTCAAACTCAAGCGCCATCAATATAGAACCTTTACCCCTCATCATAAATGGTAAACGATTAAATTAAAGAAACAAACTAGCTGTTCAAATGAAAATCCATTACAAAAACAACGACCCCTCGTCAACAGTATGTAGAACGTATATCAAGTGACGGAGCGTGTTCTTTAAGGCCGAGGGGCACGTCCAGCTTACAACCCCCCTTGCGAATATTGGGGACCGTGGAATTTCGGCGTCGCCGCGGGACGACTGAGCAGAACTGACAAACTTACCTGGCGTGGCTGGTCTCGAGGTCTGTGGTTGACACATTGTACTGGACGGAGACGGTGACGATATCCCGGGTCGATGTCGACGGCGAGCTTGGAGACGTTTGCGTGCTGATGTGGCTGGTCGTGTACTCGCGGGCCGTCGTGTACGTCACCGAGCTGGAATCTGCTTGGAAAATGGAATGGAGAAGCGTCAGCCGGCTGGTGCAATTACGTGTATCCGATTGGCTCTGCGGGGGTGTGGGGGTCAGTAACGTGCTACCGACAATATTTACGCGTGCGTAGGCCGGCGATATTCACGCGTGCGTGGGCAGGCCACGTTGCCGAGGACAACCGGAGGGAGTCGTGTTCCGCCACTTCCAGGGACGTACGTTTAATCACGCGAACGGAATCGACGCGTCGCGTCCCCTTGTTTTGTCTTCGTTTAATTGCTTTCTTTCTCTTGTGCCCGTGTTTGCTCTTGATATTACTCGTCACGGTCTTTTTTCTTAGAATCTCGTGTTAACACTTTGGCCGTTGAGAATGATGGTGACGGGGATATGAGGGTTGTTGAAGAATGCTTGGAAATGGGGTACAGTAAATGTTCCATAATTGTTTTGACATTATGTAATGAGAATCTTTTTTTTCTGGGCATTTCGTGTCGTCTTGGGTTTATTTAATTGTTTTCTTTCACTCGTGACTGTGGTTCCTCTTAATATTACATGCGACAGTCTTTTTTCCTTAGAATTTTGCGTCGACACTTTGGTTCTTGAGAATGATGGTGATTGGGGCATAATGGTTGTTGAATAATGCTTGGAAAAGGGATTCGGTAAATGTTATATAATTTCTTCGATATTATTCATCGAAGAACTTTTTTCTGGGTATTTTGGGATGGTGGCGGTTAGAACATGAGAATCGTTGAGTGATGTTTTACGAAAAAGTGTTGAATGGTTGGTAATGTTCTTGGTATTCTTTTAGGAGTAATTATGGTAGCGACGTGGCGGGGTAGTTAAGTTAATGACATCGTAATTAGAAGTTCTTTTTGAGAGTTTGGAGTAGATTAAATTAAATGTTTCTTAGACGATAGGGGAAAGCTTATTTAAATGGTTGCCCTTTTATGCGTTGTTTAGCGAGATGTCAGTTCTCTACGCTGTTGATTTATCCTTTGTTGAATCTTAAATGCAGTTCTCAATGGCTTCCCTTGTTTCATTATTCCATTATACCGTGGTCATAATTAGGTTGATTTTACTTGATATGAAGTTAGTAAATGAAGAAGACAAATCGTTACTTCAATGAAAATAATAAATAAGTTTGTTTGAAAATGAGGAGGTATGAAAATAAATTTTGAAATTATGTAGGTATTTAAAACTATTTGTCAATGTGTTGAAGTGTATTCATTGATGGCGTTTCCTCACCAATAAATATGAAAATCTTTTTTGAAGTGTATTCATTCATGACATTTCCTCGCCAATAAATATGGAAACCTTTTTTGAAGTATATTCATTCATGACATTTCCTCGCCAATAAATATGGAATTCTTTTTTGAAGTCTGCATTTTATATTCAACAAAACTATATTTCATAGTAGATCTGTTTTTATATACCTATATAGTATTTCAATGTATCACAAATCAAAATATGCATGCCAAATATTGGGAAATTTTACGAAAAATATACTTTATGGAATACGAATGGAGATTTATACCTATTTCATTACTTCGAATATAAAATTCAATCGATGAAGTGTACATTTTTATATTGCATTCTATATATTATACACGCATACAGTTAATATTTCAGGAATCAATGAAGATATTGTTGTAATCTAATTGACGATATTTTGAGTTAATAATCGGTATTTTAAAAATTAATGTTTAAAAACGTTTGCAAAACAAATTCGATTAGAATAACGACAGAATATTTTTTTAAATGTACGTTACAAGTTACAAAGCTTAGCTCGTCGAACCACATAAACCTCATTCCTCGTCGTTCAAAATCGATCCTCAGTTGGTCTAGTTAAAGTATGTCGACTCTGTAAGTTCATTAGTGGTTCTGGATTTGTCGATCGAAATGTCCAGCTACATCAGAAATGTCGAAATAATGTTTCCGTTGTGTTTTAAAATAATAATAAATTATGTGGACCTTGAAAAAGATAAATATATATTATTTAAACGAATTTTAACTATAATAGGCTTTTCTTAGAATCTACCTTTTTCAGAATATTTTGTAAAAAAATGAATTCGTGTCACAATTTAAAAACTACACGATGCAGAATATTGTTTATGTTGTTATTGAAATATTTATATGGTTTTAAATTTTGTAAAATTGTAATTTAAAAAATTAATTTTGTAATTGCTTTCCGGTTTCATAAGGTAGCCTTAAAAATATGCAGTTGCAACTTAATTATAACACTTCTCTACATGAAGAATCGTCGACCATTTATTTCTCATCTGATTAATAGCCGGTATTTAAATCTCCATATTTCTATTTTCAATTAAATTATGGCACGACACCGCTATTTCTCACCCTGTCGGTCATTCTGTCACTTTTGTTCCTTTAATGCATATAAATTTGGATTATCCGAAAATCGCTTACTCCGACAGACGATTATTCGAATAATAGGATATATAAGTGTATCTGGTCGAATCGTTCACATAAAATATTAAAACAAAAAAAAGTAAGAAACAACAATAATACATTTGATCAACAAACACAAGTAGCTCAAAAACAAACTGAAATAAAACAGAAAACTAAAAATAATAATTAAATAACCTTAAGCATCATAAATAATATACATTCAAATGAATTTAAAAGCCAAAGAACATTCACCTTCACTACAACTAAAATAAAAGGAACTCACAAAAAACCACTGAAAAATCCCGTGACAGTCAACCCTTCAATGCCCAAAGTAGTGTAACAAATCTAAAACACTTAATTACCAGAACATCGTCTCTTTAAAACAAGTACGTAGAGAACCAACTCTACTTAACAAAGATGATTGAAAAATTACCCGGATAGCTAGCATCCTCGGAGAAAACCCGCTTCGCAAGGTCAACCGTAGAAAGGATTGGCCAAAAAGAAATTTCGCAGCTGGTTTAAAAGTTTTTCTGGGTTGCTTCTATTCACCGTTTGCGGCGAAATCACTTTAACCGCGATAAACGGAGGGTCAGGCGAGCGGCGACGGCGACGCCGGCTGGAGAGACACCCTATTCCGCGGTGAAGAACGCCGCACTGAAAGAAGTCGCATCTACATCGCGTCGAAGGGGGTAGCGCGCTATTTTCGCGATGGTCAACTTAACCGGGTGGCAGTCGGGATTGGCGGAGGCTTTCACCGCGCGAAGTCGAGGAATATGCAGATGAAGAGGACGCCCACGAGCCAAGTATTTCCATAACGAGCCTTCCCGCATACTTCTCCACCTTGCCGCGCTCACATTTCGAAGGTATCTTGCTTCAATTAGAGCGCGCCGCGACCCCCGCCCCCACACGGAACAATTCCACCCCGAGCAATTTGACTCCGCGATAAATATTAATGGACCGTTTCTCGGTAGCGACACTGGAATTCCACTCGAAGCCGTCCGAGATTTTGACAGGACGCGGAACCGAGTGCTCGATAACATTTGCGAACGATCCGGACTCTTTGCTCTCGTTGATTAAACGCGCGCCGGGGGCGCCGGTAGCACCTGCCGTGATCGGTCTTAACGCTGGAACTATCGGACAAGTTAAAATGACACTTCTTCGGATCTTTTGTTTTGTGATTAGGGGAATTGTGAAGGCTTGTGGGCCATTGTTAACACATTAAGGACGGATCACGAGGTTCTTTTGTTTCCTGTTTATAGTTTGTGGTCAGTTACGAGAATTCTCGTGTTTTTGACATTTATGTGAAATCTTTTTTTGTACCCGTTCAGCAGAAATATACCTGGCCACTGGGTAAAGTTGGTAATAACAGTATTGCTCGCAATGTGTTAAGTATTTATTTTGTGGGGGTATTTGTAATTTTTGTGGGAAATGAGTCATTATTATTGCTAGGTACTTTTAGTGTTAATTCGATTTTAGTGGTAACTTCTGGTGTTGGAATTTGCATTAATATTAGAACCTTTCAAATGTTTTTCTATGTTCGTCCATCATTGAACTGTTTAATTCCGTGTTTTATGATTTCTTTAGCAACTGTCTCCGAAAGAACTATTTTATATTTGTAATTTTTTAATAGGAAAATAAATTTTGTAATATTTATTAAAGAATATGTATACGAAATGAAAGTCATTTTTATTAGCTAATATGTTTCTGCATATTTATACAGTGTCTATGTATAATAGATATTAAAATGGTTGGTTCTATAACCCGAAATAGAAAGAGTGTCAAGAAGAGGAGTTATGGTTTTAGTTTTGTTTATAAGCTATTGACGAATGAATAAATGAACAGTAATGATGCGCATAATATGGAAGGGGTGGAGACAGAAATCCGACTCAGGCGCCGCTACTAAATAGTTTGATTGTTAATACCTTGAAAACGAAGCTGCAACTACAGTTTCCTCGCTAATGACTTTCATCTTATGTTGTCTTGCGGAATTCTTTACTATATTTGTTATACATTACTGAATATCATGTACACGTTATGATTGCATAAAATCCTTATAGCAAACATTATTCGCACATTGAGAAAATCGTGAAAGGCAAATCTATAATCAGCAAATAAAAAATGTTACTTTAATGAGTTTTATAATGAATTTCATACCGAATTTAAATTTATATTCAACGTACAGAAATTTGCAGAAATAAAGTTTATACATTCTGTTATTTATCAATTAATTTTACTAGAACTATCGGTTTACAAACCAGTACGCATGAAAGCTTTTTTTATTCAAAATATTATAATGTTATGGACATATGTAATTTCTACTCAAATTATATAATAGGTTACAAAATATAAACTTCATCTTTACTTATGCATTTACGTGAAACATCACTTTAACTCTTATACAATCTTTATTAAATAAAAATAAAACTAATTGCTTCAGATTTTTCTTAATGTAAAGATATTTTCAATTTTGCCTCTACTCAATTGTACGATAAAAAGATCAACGTGTTAACAGGTTAAAAAATAATTTATCAGGAAAATCCACTGCTTCGCATAAAATATCGTCTCTAATCTCTTCTCCACCGCGATAATAAGATCAACTTTCAAGAAGGGAAGCTTCCATCCTATCCTATATTCGGGAGGAGCTTTCAATTTACCCCTGTAAATAATTTTTTCATCTGGAAGAACTACAGTGAGTCTTTGGAAATGATTTTCCTATGATATGAACTTTTAACATTTTTGTATCTCTCAGACTAAACAAATTTGCTCACCCCATTCCAACAGTATATGCAATAAAGTGTCGATATTATTGTCTGCACCAAATTTGGTAAAAATGTCATGAAAAAATTAAAATATGTACACTTACTTATAAAAATATCCACCTATCCATATGTATGACATATTTTTATAAATTAAGTAATGCTTTTTTCTTAATTGAACCAAGGTTTATACAGCACAACTTATACTTGGTAACTTCAACTATAACATTCGTTAAATATGCAACATTTATTATATAATTAAATGGGCACATGATTCTGTGAGTAACTCTATAGAGTTACATATGTCGTACATATATGTCGTACCCCGAGGAAGAACTTCCAACTTAACTTTCGAACTATGACGAGCATTTGGAAATACTCCGCCTGCATGAGCGGCGAGCATGTACTAGGAAGTGAACGAGAGAAAACCGTGCACGAAAGATCAATACCAGGCGTGGCGTATTCGCGAGTTGGCACTCGAAAAAATCGAGTCTGTTCCGATTAGTGTTGTAAAAGGCTCGAGTCCACGGAGCTTCAAGGTTCAAATTTAAAGGTTGAGCCTTGAAGGCTTAGAGTTCTATAAAGCTCTAATCTTCGAAGCGTTGAGGCCTAAGATTGAAGACTGAGTTTTTAAAGCTTCAGATTTCAACATTAAAGATTGATTTTTTAAAGCTTCAACGCTCAACCTCTACAGTTGAGTCTTCAAAGCTACAACCCTCAACCTTAAAAACTAAGTTTTCAAAGTTTCAATGCTCAACACTAAAGGCCGAATCTTCGAGGCTCCAGGACTCAACCTCGAAGGTTCAGAAACTCTATTTGTGCCAGTCATCGAGCACAAAAATTCGAACGTTGACGATTTCAGCTTTCAGAGCTCAAGATATGAGCCCTGAGGGCTTAAGCTCTTAAGGCTTGAATAGCCGCTACATGCTACAGCTTTCAAGACTCCACGTTCAGGACTTATTATTACAACACTGGTCCTGATAACAACGAAAACAGAAAGAAAATAAAAAGAATTAGAAGAAGAGATCTGGGAAAATAGAAAATAGAAATAAGAGAAAGAAAACGGACCGGTGACTGACGTGACGAAGATCTCCTCGGTGGTGACCGGTTCACCAGACCCATCTTCGCAGCCCTCCTCGTCATCGCAGGACGGCGGCTCCTGGGTGTTCTCCTTGCGGTGTTTCGGCCTGAGGGTCGTCGGCGACCTCGTCGGCGCGCTGTACACCGGCGTTATTATGTCGTCTGCAAACAGGGAGAAGAGAGGATCGTGATTATTGAAATTGCGCGCGGCTCTGCCACGCGACGCTCGCATAATTTCTGTATGATTGCGCGGTTTCCGGCGTTTGCGTCATCGTTGTAACGCGAAACGAAAATGTGGTTATTGCCGGGGGTTGGGGACGGGGTAGGGGGACGGGGTCGTGGACGATAATGGAGATAGAATGCACGTTTGATTGGAACGTTTTGTTCTGGCCGCGGTACCTCGTGCCAGTTTCGTTTCCCTTTGAACTCAATTTCGTTGGCAATTTTAGTTGATTTTCGTTTTTGTCGGGGCCACTTTGCTGCGATCGCGGCTCGATTGAGCTGGAAACGGTTTTCTTCTGCAGCAATGATTAATACGAGTTATTTTAGATTTGCAGTGCGTGTATTGTTCGTTTGTAAACGCGTTTTCGTGTTGGAGTGTCGCGAAGCGAATGTTTGGGGAACACGGGAACATTGTGTAATGGAGGGTAGAATATTAATATCTTTCTGATAAATAAATTCCTGTTGCTACAATATACAGTGGTAATAATAATATGATAATTGTGTTTCTGAAATACTGGGATGATGGAGATGATGTTTTCTTTTTGTAAAATGAATATTATAGTAACGTGAACGAGATTCCAAGTTTAAGACTCTATATTGATTGAATTTGATTTTTGAGAACTGTGAGTTGAGAACGGAATTTAATGTGTTTTTTGTCTGTTTTATAAACGCCAAAATATTTGAAGTATTAATAAATTAAATGTATAAAATTGATGGTATTAATCAATCTAATGTGATACTCATGTTATTTATGCATTAACTCGAGCTCACTGTATTTTACGAGTGGAAATATACGTGCATTGTTTGTTTTTATTATTACTCCGCTATTTTTAATTTCATTATTGGATCACTTATTTACAGTTGAAGCATATAAATCAGAAATAACTGCAACTATAGTAATTGTAAACATTTCGTTGTGTACGAATATAATTTATGAGAACCAACTGCCAAATGGTAAACGGAAAACGGTTGAAGATCACTGCTATACAAATATTTGAATCCTCACATTTTCATCATAAACTGTTGGGTATCTACATGAGACCATTGCAAACACGTTTCCAATAAAACGATGGTTTCCACGCATTGCTTTGTTATTGACATACGCAGCTAATGTTTCACAATGAAAATAATAGGTATGCATCGTTGATTTGCGTAAATACGAGTGCAATAATTTAAGACAGGTGGAAAATGAATGTTCTCGATATGAAAGGTACTATTCTGACCGTTATCATACCGATTCCTTTACATTTTACTGTTCTTTTCTCTCTGTTAGAATATAGTAGACAGAAAGTAGTAAACAAAAAATAACTTTGAATAAAGTAATAATTGAAAATACGTAGTAATTTATAAATCACTTTTATAACTGTAACGTAACGTACAACTTTCACGTATTAGTATTTAATTATTTACGTTATATTAATAGTAAAAGACTGTTTTCCAAGAATGGTTCGAAACAAAATCAACGAATTTTAATATTTACCAAAATTGTATCTTAAAAATTATTCAAATAAAATGAACATTTTATTTTCGATGCCGAATAAATATATAAATAAATGAGTGTCCTTTTAACTGTTACTGAGATTAATTTATTCATTTCGAGGGTATCAACGAGAAGAGTAAAAATCTTTCAACGTATTACGCAACGGCTATTGTATTTATCCCTGAAAACACTTATCGATGTCTCCGTTTGTTCTAAGTTTAGACAAAATGCGAAGATACTGTGCATGTATAACTGGCATCGTAAATACCTTTTAACCTTTAAAGCAGTTTAAGCTCAGTTACTCTAGCCACTCATTCTAAACGGAATCTGTTTTATCTAGAGAAGCAAATAGTGAAACGTGACATCGTAAATTGAACTTTTGAATGTTCTTTATTAGCTATCAAGTGTGTATTATGTTTTACTATTCTGTAATGTATTGTGGGTATGAATGGTCGAGTGTGCTTGTGGGCGGTCGGTGTCGCCTTGCGACAGGATGGCGCCGGTTTTTCCCAAGAATAGTGGAGTGATTGTGTGTGGAAAAGTCGAGTGTCTGGAGAACAGCGAAAGAAAAGTGTTTGGAACCGAGCGACTGGGACCTTGAAAATTAAGCGTGTACGTGACCGAGTGAATTTTGGCTATAGACGAATGGTTAGGGTGCGAGTGAGAAGGGTGTAAGCGTGAGAAAAATAGAGCGAATGGGGGTGTACTTTAAAAGCCAGTGAGAATGCGTGCGGAAAGGACTTTTGGTTGCGATTAGCGAGCGAGCGGTTGTGTAGTAGATATGGGGGTACTGTTTTTGAGTGTCTTTATTGTTGCTGTATTAACAAACTGTTTTATTGTTGTTTTGGTTATAAATTGGTGTATTCATTTAATTTCGTTTTTAATTGGTTCCGTTGTGACTCGTCAACTAAAATGTATTGTCGACGAATGTATTTATACTATAAATGAAAGTATTAATTTAATAATAAATACATTTCATAATATTAAATTTGAATGAATATTAAGATTTAAACAAATGTCATAAACAATTATTGTTATTCAATGTTTCGCAAGTTCAAATTTCTCGAAAATTGGCAAACAAACGTTACCATATATTCTGTGAATTTTTTCATAACGATACTTCCATAAAAAATAAAGTACTATTAGGTGAAGACAATTTTTATTATATTTTCGAAATTGTTAACTGTCCGCGAATTCATTAATTTATACATGACAAAATGATAAGCATAAAAATATAACGATGAAAAGCGAACGAAACAAGCAGGTAAAAACGTATCAAAATTCTCGTGCCGTGAAACGACACGATCGCTCGTGATCATTGCACGAACGCCACCGAACCTCTTGTACAAGTCATGCGTGATTTCAAACAATTAAACTTGCTATCTTAACACTTTTACCATTGTATGTACTTTATTACAAAACGACGAATAGCTGTGTAGTCATTCTTATCCGTTCAGAGTTAAACACTTTTCCGTGCAAATCCTAGCGAATTTCTATGTAAATCTTTTCAAACGCGATAAAATAACGCCACTTACGGTAATTATCCTTGAAAATGTTTCTAATGTAGTAGGTTTCGTCTATCGCGACAAAGTTTAGCTTTTAGATAAAGGGACCGAGAGCAGCGAAAAAAATACATGCTTTTTACGAGCACAAAGGATAATTGTGGAACTTTGTAATAAGATGGGAAAAATGAGGAAAAAGCGCAGATAAGAACCAGAATTGTTCACGAAATAAAAGTAAACAAAGTGTTTCAATTTTTGTATAACGCATCGGCCAATTTGACCGTAAACGAAACCTTCGTTTACTCGTATATTGTGGATGCTTCTGAATAAATTTTATAGAAGTAAGTTTTAACAGAATTTGGGGTTAAATTTAGCAGCAGTTTACTGCGGTTGCTAAACTTCCGACATTATAGACTACGGAAATTTATGCATATAGAGTATCTCATAATACTAGAAATGTAGTATGATACAAATTTTAATAAAAATGTTCTATATACATGTTGTTAATCCCTTGGTGTACTATTTACTTTCGCCACTAAGCTCATGTACCATTTTACTATCGACAATTTGGAAGAAATACAACAAAATTGACCATTCTATTTCAAGTGGAAATTTTATTTGAAGACAATACATTGATAATAGCAAAATAGTTGTTTGCTTTGATCCGTGGGTAATGAATAACATTGATTGTTGTTAAATCAGTCTAGAAATTTTCATCATGAATCTCACTCGTCATTCTATGGCAAGGGGTTAATACAATGAAATTTGCAGGAGAGAACATAATTCTGCTTTTTTCTCTTTATATATATTAGTGTCTGGAATTCCTTTGATAAAAAGATCTGTGCAATTGCAGTTAATACATACGTATATGTATGGTACATTTAACCGTAATTAATATATAGAATAACTAAAAACATTAAACAAACATTGTGTAGATCAAGTCACGTATAAACAACTCGTATATTCGACGGATATTTATGTAAAAAATAATAAGCAATTTTCAATAAAATACAATTAAGTTCATTATCTCTTTATGCAATGAATGATCTCTTTTTCTACAGTCATTCACGTTCATACTTGAATACAAAGGATGAATAAATATAGACACACACTACTACGTTATTAAAATTCCCTTTTCTACATTGATAAAATGATTATCATAAACTTAAAGACAATTTGAACATCATAAATAGGCAAAATTATACCATTTCATATTTCCTTTCAAATACTGAACTTGTAGCTACCATATTGCAGTGGCACAACAGTCTCTAGAAACTATAAAATAAATGTTAATTACTTGGAGTCATTTATTCCAACAAATCCCATTATAAAACTAAATTTATATGAACTCCCCATTTCAAATACAAATGTAAAAGAAGAAAATTAGGCATAATTTTATATTTTGTATTAGAGGCTTCGTTAAGGCAAAAGTAATATATATATATATAGTAATCATTTTTATTATACATTAAATTGTGCCTTTTACAGGTAAGGGGGTTATAAATGTATAAACAACTGAAGTTTAAACATTGTTCAAAAGGTAAAAGTATCGTTAAGCTATCGAAATATTTTCGTCACGAGTTTGAAATAACCGGTTGTTCAGTGGATGATGGACTCGAAACAGCTTATTAAAGGGATCGTATTAATCCAGTTTTTAGTCAGCCGGTGAAGATTTTCGAACCGGGCGCCAGATTGCGCGAGGAGGTCGAGAGAAAGGAGGGGCGCGAACCAAGGATCCTAAATATGCAAATGAATCGAAGATACAACCGGGCAAGCATGAAGACGAAAAGGTGGCATGCCATGCGATATGCGAGCCCGATCATGCGTGTCAGTGTACGGCACACTAGATATTTTCTCCCCTATCTCTTACCCCTCCCCCTACTCGAAACGCGACGATTATTGATTATATACAGCGAGGTATTTTGTTTTATGTAAGAAATTCTATTTTGTCTATTAACACTTGACTACCGCATCCGTCAAAATGACGAGTTTCAGTTTCCTTATTTCATATTGATCGATATCTTAATAGATCTGTGACTAGCAAATTTTTTGCTTATTCAATATTTTGCTATAATACTAAGCTAATTGCCATAAATTTCTGATAATGTTGAGAAAAAAATGAATAATATGTTAATGAAATTTTCGCTAGATATGTTGTTCAACATTTTGTCCATTTAGCAAAGTAGCTACGGGTAATAGATTTTTCCGTTTCGAATTAAAAACGCGATTAGATAAATTCTTTACCTCAGAACGAGATGAAAGTTTTGGATGAAATATTATTGACGATCTTCGGTTAGTCAAATGAGAATTATTTAATTAGTAATTTATGAAGAATGATTTCTTGTTAAATAATTGTTTACGATTAAATGGCCGATTTTAATTTTCTCCTATCGTATCACATCGATGAATGTGTAAATACATTTTCAATTTCGAGATAAATGTAATTTGTAATTTAATTAACAGTTTTGAATTATAAGAAAAAGTTACTGCATATTTTTCTATTTATTACGGTTGAAGAACCGAGTATATTTGTTCAATTACGAAGAATAGCAACAATTTAGTAAATAATGTAAGTAATGAGATCGCGTAACTCCGAAGATGGAAATATTAAATGCTTTTAATGAATTAGTTTGCACATTTTCGTACTTCATTATAGTATTTTTAATATTCCGTTAGTATAAGAATAACAATAGGTACATTTATTTCAAATTTATAGAATTAATTATATTTCTTTACGCTATAAAATGTAATTTTTTACTTAAATTACGTTCAATTTAAATATGAATGAAATCTGGTTGTTTCTCATTAACGACAATATTTTTCATTTATTTTGTAATAATTATTGTAAAAATAATGTTTTTACTGGTATTAATTATTAAACGAAAAAAATTTGGTAAGTGCCGTCAAATGACGACAGTGCCTTACCAATTTATGTGTGTTCCATCCTTGTCTAGGGGAGTGCTAAACATCTCTCCTTTCATATTACACAGTAGATGTCGCCTTGCACCAGCTTATATATGAATAACCCGTCGAATGAGTACTTGCGAGAAAGCACATTTTTCTAAATAACTCAATTATTGTTAACTTTATCAAAAAACTGTAAAGACATTTTTAACTCCAAACTATGCGGTCTATCGAATAGTACAGTTTTAGTATTACGTTTTCCAACATACAAATTTTTTGGTATCTATAGGCAACTATTGACATATAAAGGTGCTCTAAAACTAAATTCAATGTAAAGATACTATGTATTGTAGCTTACGTGACACCAAAAATTCGACAGTTTATAACGTTTATTCTGTTCATAAATTACCATGTAACTGATACAAATTTTACTCGAAATTTTCCAAATGTAATTATATTTTCATAAATATCTAATATCACGTCTGTTTAGAGTATGATTATTATCGATTATAAAAAGTAATTAACACATTGTAAATACCAGGAAGAAAAATCATGACCAAAACAACTTTGGTAACAAACATCAATATGTTAATTATAATTCACATATTGAATAGGTTCAGTGATTTCTTTTATGTAAAATGTCGTGCAATCAATTCAAATTCAGAACGATTTGTAATATGTAGCCTGTTGCACATAAAATATCAACGTGTGCGTAATAAGAAATGCCTTTTGGAAGAATCGTGCAGATGGAATTACTTACGCCCTCGGAAATGTTACTTACACTTACCGGAACCAGGTTCATAGATTGGTGTGCATTCTTCGTCCTCGTCGTCGGCAGTGCAACCGCTTCCTGCGCCAGAAAATATGAGGTCGTCCATGACACCCGGAAAACCGGACGCTGGCGTCTAAAATGAAAAAAAGAATGGAGATTTATTGCATACCGCGAAATCTTTGTCTAAGCCATCGGTGACGCAATGGCAGACATTGTAACGATTCTTTATCTTGCATTAAACTGTAAGCAGACATTCTGTAGGAGAGTAATGTAACCTTACAACGATGAGCATAAACGTAGAGCATAGTGTATAATGTAATAAGTTAACAATGTACGATCATTTATGATTTTAACTACTTTTTCTTTTAATTAATTAATACATCGTATACGTATTTAACTTGTGTATTACATTAATTACATGTAATAAAACCGTTATTATTATAATTAAAAAGGTTATCAAATTATTATTTGCAGATTTATATTTTCCGTGAATTTCTCTTTTATGATGGGTACCTTTTCTACATAGGGGATTTTATAGTTTGCGTAAATTGAAATTTAATTTGGAGTTTAAAACGAACATTGAATAAATTGAATTTACGAAAAAGTATTCATTTAATCTATACGAATCGTTCATTTATGAAAGTTAAAAGTTTCACAGTATATTTTGTAAAACGTAAAGTTAATGTTTTAATTAAAACTTTGTGAGTACTCATTTTCATTTAGCCTATATTTCATTGTTAACCGTATAACAATTTTGATGGATAAAATTATTTTGTATTTGTTCAACTGAAAATGAATATATGTTTATATAATTTATAATATGAAAAAGTAACTTTTGATAAATATCTGAATGTCACCTGTTGCATTCTTTGTAAAGGAGCCGCTCGATCTAGAAGACTTCCGGCAGGCATCAATTGAACATCCCCTCTAGTAGTGACCCTTCCGTCTTTGGATGCAGCTAGCTCTAGAATCCTCGCTCCGTTTACGACTAGACCGGCAATTACTCCTAAAAACGGCCGCTCTACTCTGCCCATGTTTCGGTTCCATCGACCACCAACTTGAATCGTCGATTGGCTATTGAAGACTTTCAATTGGCGACCTGTGAACACCAGTGAACATTATTAGAATTATAAAACAGCATTATCGTGAATAAAAACATGTATTTTTAAAAGCTACATATTCGTTGAATTTGGAGCTATATAATACCTACATAATTAATAAAAGACACTATTAATTGTAATTTTCTCGTTCAAAGATTTCTTCGTTGGAAACAGTTTCTATAAATCAAGTACTTATAAACAAGTACATTAATTTCTCAATTCGATTGTAAACAGTACAAAACATAACAAAAAATAATTATTATTATTTATTTATTTAATTTCAAGTAAGAAATAACCTTTCGTTGGCAAATAATAAATTACCTTCTCCATTGCATAAATGTTATTAAACAAAATTTTTATTTTATTCAAACAAATGCAAATTCAATTGCTCCTTACAATAAAAATTTATTTTGTATCTATTATTTACATAACAACTTTAACTTGTAAACGTTGGTGATCATTAATAATTTTTAATAATCAACGTATAATCGAATATATCAAATTATGTAATAAAGCCATTTCAAGTTCACCGACTTAATCCGTGGCCAAATTATTTAGATTATACGTAATCCGTAGATTCAGTCGGATAATTTATACAATTCTCCCGGCTGACAAATGTTTTCGTTTGACCACTGACCAGGCGAACAGAAGTCACTAGGTTTAGTGTGAACAATCAATGACCGGACAGTCTACCATCCCAATATATATATCTTGGAAAACGGGAATGAAGGTATCTTCCAAAGTCCCCTACCCCTCGTTATGGGTTTGCTTCAAGCCCTTTCCCTTTGTAGGGTCTAAATTTGGTTGGTTTTAAGAACAGGCAAACATGATCTTCGCAGAACTCTCTAGGGTTCGATCTGCCCTTCGTGGGATGGGGCACATGCTGGTTAGATTACGAGCGAAAATGCGTCGCCACAAAGATACCTTCTCTGAAGCAGGATCCAGGAAGTGATTACAAAAGTCAGGTGAAATTTGTTTAGTAACGTTTCGTGATATATTTTAAAATGACCATTTTAATAGTATTCAGCAGTATATATTTCATTAAAAACTAAACGTATTATATTTCTCATAAAAACGAATTTCATGCAATAATCACATTTACTGAAAAATATTGTCTAAAATTAATTTTAATTCCAGATAGTGAAGTATTAATAAACGTAATACTGTTGGGTACTATAGTATTAATAAAATAAAGGTTTTATTTCAAAAATTTAATTAAAAAGAATCAGTGAAATTTTTATTCTATTTGAAGGTGAATCAAGTTTTTATTGCATGAAATAAATGTTTCCTTTGATTCCATTTCTATCCACGTAGTGAACATTCGTAATGAGAATTTACCATGTTGAAAAATGAGTTTCCTTCATTCCATAATACTATTGTATAAAATCTATAATCAGAGTACTAGAGTTTGTAATTCAAATATGAATATTATAAATACAATGTATTATTTAAAATTGTAGTAATCCTACACGTTACATTGCAAATATTATTTATTATAACATGTATTTATCTTCTCATTTTATTTGCAATCTGATGAAACCCTCAATAACGTTTACACATCCCTGCTCGCTATCAGTTTCTGTAAATCAGTCCAAAAATATCTACTTTTACTTAAAAATTCGAGTTGTCAGTGATCTTTTCTATACAAGAGTAATTTTGAACCATGTTTCCGAATATGAATATTATATAACCAGGGACACCGATCAGGCCAACATGGACGTCCCGGAGGTCTCCGTGATTGTTAGCTTAAACTGTGTGACAAAATCGATTGACAGAGATCGATAATACGGCTATTTTTTTATTAGGCGACTAGAAATCAAGGGACGGGATGCGACTTGGGTCGGACACGTTTGAGCAGGTCCACTCGCCTGACCTGCCATGGGCGAGTTAAATACCATCTAGTAATAGGGAAGCAACAAGGTGAACGAGGTTCACTGCTGTCATGGATGAGGCGTTGGTGGGGATCGTATGATGGTGTTGGAGGGTTTGGTACTATGGATAATAATTTTCGGCGAGCCAAGAAAAAATGGGCCTGGCTGACAGGCCTACCAGGCTTACAGAAACTGGCAGAAGGATAACTCGGTTCTGTTTTAGGCACAGCAAAGATGGCGTACCAAACCGTCTTGACACCTGCGTTAGACAAATCGTACATATTTTGATAAGTGAATAGTATTAACGAATTTCTATACAGGTAAAATTTGTATATGAATGATGAAGTATGTCCACGTTCAGATATTGTACAATAAATATAGAAAGGATTATTTGTGGAAATTGGAAATAGATAAGAAGTTAATTAAGTAATTGAAATGTTTGTCAATGAATTTCTAATACAATATTTTTTGTTATAATTCACGCATTGTCAAATATTTATTTGGTTCCAGTGTACCCGAATGACAGATTCCAGTATTGGTATCTTGTAATGTGATTCATTGTCACAATTATAATATTTTCTTTGAAGTTGTTTAAACTATTTTTATACTATGAATATAATATTTGATGTAAAACTTAAATTTCAATTATCTCAATTGGAAAGTTCAATATTTGTTAATCGTGCAAAATTTAATGTCCAAGGTATCCTTTAGTATAAGATATGTTTATTCGTGAAATTATTAAATGAACTATTTTTATAACAATATGACATTGTGTTTTATCATTTTAAATATTTGCCATTTGGAGAAGTATTGTAATGAGTTTATAAAGGCACAAGCAACATTCAGTGGTTTTGTTGCACCTATTTATAATTTCATTTCTGTGTGATACTGAATAAGATAAATGTATCACGTTGCGTTGTCTATGATTATTTCCCTGCAACCGATAGCTATTGTGCCCTCATTCAATGCTTCTTGAAAACGTATTTGTATTTTCCAAGCTTCCATTCGGATTTCATTCAATTTCATTCCACAATTTATTGCATGTAAATTTCATTTACAGGGAAATTCGATAATACAATTTACACATTTTTATTGATATAGAAATGTCGTAAATAATTAGATTGAATGTTCTGCAGAAATACAAATAACAATCAATGGAACAAAATTTAAACTCCCGATTCTACGAGTCGGTATTCACACGGCGAATTTCCTTCGTAACTTTAAATGACGTAAATATTCAAAACATGGCATTAATATATTGCCTCAATATTTTACGTGCTGAATTGTTATTTTCAATTTTTACTGTTTACCTTTAATTCTCGAGTAAACTGTCTAATTAAGACACATACTATATAAATATAAATATTCTTTACAATCACCGAAGCATAAATGCATATTGTTAAATTGAATTAAATAAAGAAAAAGTAAACGTAACTTAGTTTATAGTCTTTTAATGGAAGTACAGTAGAACCTCGATTTTCCGAACATCATTTACCTGAGATAGTATAACGAATATACCTATATGTTCATTAAATACAAATTAAAATATTGTCGACACATCATTGACATATCTATAAAATTCAACCGTGAAGTCTTGTCAGTTCGAATGACGTATAAAACGCCAAATAGAACTCTAATTAAAAAAACAGAGTTTAGAAACTTAATTACAATGCAATTTGTTCGATTATTCGTGCATCCTGTACCTGATTATGCAGTTCACATAATCGAGGTTCTATGACAGTACTCTAAAGTAACATCAGAACATACGTAAATGCTCGCATACCAAATAACCAGTGTCAAGAAACCATTGAGGAAATACTCCATTGAGAAAAGAAGGAAAGGCACGTGTCACTTTACAAACTACAGTAACAGCGTATTTCAACTAGTGTTCACTGTCTGTCCAAGTGGAACCAGTTTTTTGTCGGACCGTAGAGTGGAACAGAAAAAAAATGCTGACTGAATGAACCGACTCGACTCATCTTCAACTTGAGTTCCAACCAGACAGTTTTTTTTTGCCCTGAGAACTGGCACTTGCCAGCCAGGCATAGTGACTCTATTAGCGTAGTATAAAAATACAGTTGGTCGACCGGTGCTCACCGCCAACCGGATCGCCAGCAGGGATGCATGTGTTGAACGCAGCACGCGTCCGGTAAATATGTACGTTCTCCGGCACGTGTCACGCGACTGTTTCCAGATAATTTAACATGAAAGGTGTGCGCGAGTAAATTTACCGATTGCGTGTGGCAGGTGGTTATGCGCAGGGGATAAGCATGTAATTCGCTTCGCATTCCGATCTGAAGAAGTCCAATAAACTGTATCACTTTATTAGGAAAGCAGGAGGACTATGGGTGCAACCGGGTACCCTAATCGACTCCAGCATCAGTAAATTTAGGCAAACCTCCTTCGTGTTGAATACCTGACCCCGAATTTGTTCATGATTTATCTTGTTTTAAAGTTATTTCGTGTTATCGGTTTGCTGTTGCTTTTGTAATTTTTTTAGTACATTGCGAGTTCAGTTAATGCCATCGATATTGATAATCGATCATTTCTTATTTTTAGAATGAATTTTTACAAACATCATTTCTAAAATGAAAATGATCGAAGTTAATGGAATTTGCAATTGATGAAATTCATGTTTTATAAATCAGTTTTGATAATAATTTTAATTTTAGTGGTTTCCAATTTATGGTGTGAGAATTAATAATTATTTTATTTGTTTATATGTTCGAAAATGAAGTGGAGAGAAGAATTCGGTGTTGAGTTTTGTTTATTTTGGAGAGATATTTAAGATTGCAAATACATTCAGTAGAAATAAATCCTGTCTTAATTATTCAAGTATGGAAAGTCTACATTGCTATTTTTTACGCGAATACATTAATGTCGTGACTGAATAAAATAAAATTACAAATAAACCTTATGACATTTTTACCCCTCTTTCCTCGATAAAATTACTGTCTAGCATTTCTACTTTGTTTGTATTTTTATAATGACAAAAATCTGTAATCATATCTTTCATTACATCTATGAATCACTCTTCTATTTTCTATGAGATACATATTATTTAAATAACATTATATTCAAAAACTATTACTTGCACTAGTAAAATAATGCAACACTTTGTAAATTTC